ACCCACTGTGCTGGGCCCCCCAGCAGGCCTCGAAAGTGGCGACAGTTTCACAGATCGCAGCCCCCCAGGGTTGGCGAGGTCTAATTTGGGTCCGCCCGTGGCGTCACTGTGCTGCGCCCCCCAGCAGGCCTCGAAAGTGGCGACAGTTTCACAGATCGCAGCCCCCCAGGGATGGCGAGGTCCTGTTTGGATCCGCGGTGAGTACCCTCAATGCTGGCCTCCCCAGCAACCCATCGAAAGCGGCGACAGTTTCACAGGTCGCAGCCCCCCAGGGATGGCGAGGTCCTGTTTGGATCCGCGGTGAGTGCCCTCTCTGCTGGCCTCCCCAGCAGCCCTCGAAAGTGGCGACAGTTTCACAGATCGCAGCCCCCCAGGGATGGCGAGGTCTAATTTGAATCCGCGGTGGGTACCCACTGTGCTGGGCCCCCCAGCAGGCCTCGAAAGTGGCGACAGTTTCACAGATCGCAGCCCCCCAGGGATGGCGAGGTCTAATTTGAATCTGCGGTGAGTACCCACTGTGCTGGGCCCCCCAGCAGGCCTCGAAAGTGGCGACAGTTTCACAGATCGCAGCCCCCCAGGGATGGCGAGGTCTAATTTGGTCTGCCGTGTGGCCCACTGTGCTGGGCCCCCCAGCAGGCCTCGAAAGTGGCGACAGTTTCACAGATCGCAGCCCCCCAGGGATGGCGAGGTCTAATTTGAATCCGCGTGAGTACCCACTGTGCTGGCCCCCCAGCAGGCCTCGAAAGTGGCGACAGTTTCACAGATCGCAGCCCCCCAGGGATGGCGAGGTCTAATTTGAATCCGCGCGTGGCCCTCACTGTGCTGGGCCCCCCAGCAGGCCTCGAAAATGGCGACAGTTTCACAGATCGCAGCCCCCCAGGGATGGCGAGGTCTAATTTGAATCCGCGGGTGGCGTCACTGTGCTGGGCCCCCCAGCAGGCCTCGAAAGTGGCGACAGTTTCACAGATCGCAGCCCCCCAGGGATGGCGAGGTCTAATTTGAATCCGCGGTGCGTACCCACTGTGCTGGGCCCCCCAGCAGGCCTCGAAAGTGGCGACAGTTTCACAGATCGCAGCCCCCCAGGGATGGCGAGGTCTAATTTGAGTCCGCGTGGGTACCCACTGTGCTGGGCCCCCCAGCAGGCCTCGAAAGTGGCGACAGTTTCACAGATCGCAGCCCCCCAGGGATGGCGAGGTCTAATTTGAGTCCGCGGTGGGTACCCACTGTGCTGGGCCCCCCAGCAGGCCTCGAAAGTGGCGACAGTTTCACAGATCGCAGCCCCCCAAGGGATGGCGAGGTCAAAGGCATGGGGGAAGAGAGGGACGGGAGGGGGTGGGAAGGAAGGAGACGCGCGGGAAGGAGACGCGCGAGCAGTGCTCTATTCAAAACGAGAACCCACGCAGGAGGGTTGGGAATAATAATAATAATAATAATTACTAGAACCACGCGCGCGCTTCGCGCGCGCTTAGGTTCTGTCGAGTCACAGACCCAGGAATCGTTGCGAGAAGAAATTGGTGACGCGAAGCGTCTTGGGGGCGTCCTTGGACGACTGGGGTCTCCTGGGGCCTCTTGAGGGGCCTCCTTGGGGCCTCCTGGCGGCCTCTTGGGGCGGAAGGCTCGAGCTTGCGGTTCGTGGTCCCCCTCTGGGCCCCCTCTTGGGCCCGTCTTGGGGCCCTCTTGGGCCATCTTGGGCGCCTCTTGGGCCGTCTTGGGGCCCTCTTGGGCTGTCCTGGGGCCCTCTTGGAAGCTTCTTGGGCCGTCTTGGGGCGGTCTTGGGCGCCTCTTGGGCCGTCCTGTAACGTCGGAAAGCCCAAAAGGCGACTTTGTTAAAATGTACGTTTTACGAAGGGAATGGGCCAATTTTTGCGTCTAGGGGCCCTCTTGGGACGCATGTTGGAGGCTTCTTGGGGCCTCTTGGGGGCGTCCTTGGACGTCTGGGGTCTCCTGGGGCCTCTTGAGGGGCCTCCTGGGGGCCTCCTGGCGGCCTCTTGGGGCGGAAGGCTCGAGCTTGCGGTTCGTGGTCCCCCTCTGGGCCCCCTCTTGGGCCCGTCTTGGGGCCCTCTTGGGCCATCTTGGGCGCCTCTTGGGCCGTCTTGGGGCCCTCTTGGGCTGTCCTGGGGCCCTCTTGGAAGCTTCTTGGGCCGTCTTGGGGCGGTCTTGGGCGCCTCTTGGGCCGTCCTGTAACGTCGGAAAGCCCAAAAGGCGACTTTGTTAAAACTGTACGTTTTACGAAGGGAATGGGCCAATTCTTGCGTCTAGGGGCCCTCTTGGGACACATGTTGGAGGCTTCTTGGAGCCTCTTGGGGGCGTCCTTGGACGTCTGGGGTCTCCTGGGGCCTCTTGAGGGGCCTCCTGGGGGCCTCCTGGCGGCCTCTTGGGGCGGAAGGCTCGAGCTTGCGGTTCGTGGTCCCCCTCTGGGCCCCCTCTTGGGCCCGTCTTGGGGCCCTCTTGGGCCATCTTGGGCGCCTCTTGGGCCGTCTTGGGGCCCTCTTGGGCTGTCCTGGGGCCCTCTTGGAAGCTTCTTGGGCCGTCTTGGGGCGGTCTTGGGCGCCTCTTGGGCCGTCCTGTAACGTCGGAAAGCCCAAAAGACAACTTTGTTGAAAATGTACGTTTTACGAAGGGAATGGGCCAATTTTTGCGTCTAGGGGCCCTCTTGGGACGCATGTTGGAGGCTTCTTGGGGCCTCTTGGGGGCGTCCTTGGACGTCTGGAGGCCATCTTCAGCATCTCGGAGCCCTCTTGGAGGCCTCTTGGAAGTTTCTTGGGCCGTCTTGGGCGCTTCTTGGGCCGTCTTGCCTGACTGGGGAGGCCTCCGGCAAGCCCCGACGAGCCTCCGGGCCCCCCGGGGTGCACATTTGCGGTCGAGGTCCCGGCCCCGGGCCCCCGGACCCGGTGCGCCGATATATGTATATAATACGATTGCTACTACTACGACTACTACGACTACTACTACGACTACGACTACGACTACTACTACTACTACTACTACTACTACTACTACTACTACTGCTACTACTACGGCGACGACGACGACGACGACGACGACGACGACTACTACTACTACTACTGCTACGACTACTACTACCACTACCACTACCACTACTACTACTACTACTACTACTACTAATAATAATAATAATACTACTGCTACTACTACTACTACTACTACTACTACTACTACTACTACTACTACTACTACTGCTACTCCCTTCTCCTCCTCCTCTGAACGTTCCCAGCGCCCGGTGGAGGTATGTGCGAAGATCCCCAGAGGGCTCGGGAAGCTCCAAGAAGCCTCCAGAAATCTCTGGGGGCCTTCGGACACAGTCGGCGGCCCCACCCGCTCCGCTCACCCCTCCAAAAAAGCCGTCCAACATTCTCGATCCGCCTCCTCCTCCTCCTCCTCCTCCTCCTCCTCCTCCTCCTCCTCCTCCTCCTGCCTTTCCCAGAAGCCACCACAAGGAAGTGGCAGAAGGCGGACGTCGCCAGAGCCCTGCAGTGGATGCATCCCAAGAGTGGTGTCCGCCTGGTTTGAGGTGACTGCCTGTTATGTGTCAAACGGTTTTGGGAGACAGTTTGATTTATTGTTCAACGGTTCAGTAGATGCCATGGTACATGGGACAAAATACCCATGCATGGGCTGAGTCAGCGTTTCGGATGCGGTCCCCAAGCTCCTCGATCCTCCTCCTCCTCATCATCATCCTCCTTTTCCTCCTCCTTCTCCTCCTTTTCCTCCTCCTGCTCCTCCTCCCTCCTGCTCCTCCTCCTCCTCCACCTCCATTCCTTCTCCTTATAGATAACTCCTCCCTGTCGCACCCCGAGGCAAGTTTGTAGGGCGGGCCGGGCGTTTCGCCTGAGACATCCTTCACCGTTTACGACTCTGAAGCTTAAAAGAGACAACAGCTTCACAGATGGAGGGCGGGAGGTTTTCAAAATGTGGCTCTCGCCTTCGCGCCGCGCACATTCGTTTCAAGATTTGCAAGAATTTCACGGATTGAGGGCGGTTCCTTTTCAAATTGTGGCTCTCGCCCTTCGCGCCGCGCACATTTGTTCTAAAAATTCGCAAGAGCTTCACGGATTGAGGGCGGGTGGTTTTCAAAATGTGACTCTCGCCTTTGCGCCGCGCATATTCGTTTTAAAAAATTGCAAGAGCTTCACGGATTGAGGGCGGGTGGTTTTCAAAATGTGACTCTCGCCTTTGCGCCGCGCACATTCGTTTTAAAAAATTGCAAGAGCTTCACGGCTTGAGGGCGGTTCCTTTTCAAAGCTCTCGCCTCAGCGCCGCGCACATTCGCAAATTCCACGGGTTCCCATGATCAACGTACCAAAAATCGTGTGTTGGAAGGATTCAGGATTATGCGGGCGCAACAGTTATGTTGATTCGCTGCGTTGAAGTCCAACAAACGGCGTTCTGGCACGAGTGTTGATCGTCAAGACGCAGCAGTCAGGTTGATACGTGGCGTTGAAATCCCGAGAACAATGTTTTGGCACGCTTCAGGATCTCCAAACTGTTGTCTTCCAGCGAGGCAGTTCCCCCAATGGAAATGAGCCGTTGTAGGAGCCTATGAAGAGGGAGCTCGGAGGGAGGGTTCATTCCAACATCGTTGATGACTCTTGGGTTTCCACTGGTCCTCCTCATCCTCCTGTTCATCCTCCTTCTCCGTTTCCGCCGCCGCCGCCGCTGCCGCATCCACCTCCGCCTCCGCATCCTCCCACCGGTTCCTTCGTCCGCTTCTGGGGAAACTAAAACATACCAATACCGCTACCCCCTGGACTTCTCTCCCAGGTTGCGTTCCGACCAGCATTTCAAGGAGAATCCGCTCGTGGCGACGAAGGCCTCCCAGGAGGCCCGAAAGGGCGAAAACAAACGAAGGGTGGCAGCATCGGTCTTCTCTCCCACCTCCTTGCGCCTCATCCTTCGTTCTCCCCAGTCAGCCTCCTAGTGCGGCGGGCCTTCCGGGCTCGCCTCCAGCGCACTGGAGCCCCTGGACCTCACGCGGCCGCCTGAACCAGAGGAGGAGGAGCAGCAGCAGGACCAAGGATGGAGCGCGGAACAAAGGCAGCAGCAGGAGAGGAGGAGGAGGAGGAGGAGGAGGAGGAGGAGGAGGAGGAGGAGGAGGAGGAGGGGGAGGAGGAGGAGGAGGAGGAGGAGGAGGAGGAGGAGGAGGAGAGGAGGAGGGGGAGGAAGAAGAAGAAGAAGAAGAAGAAGAACAAGAAAAAGAAGAAGAAGAAGAAGAAGAAGAAGGAGGAGAAGAAGAAGAAGAAAACGAAAAATAAGAAGAGTAAGAAGAAGAAGAAGAAGAAGAAGAAGAAGAAGAACAGCAGCAGCAGCAGCAGCTGTAGGGGAGGAGGAGGAGGACGACGACGACGAGGAGGACGAGGAGGAGGAAGGGAGGGAGGGAGGCAGGGAGGGAGGCAGGGAGGGGGAGGGAGGGAGGAGCAGCAGCAGCAGCATGTGGCAGCAGCAGAGCACACTGGACACTTTTCCCTTGAGCCAAAGTACCGTCCACGGGTGCAAACATGCGTACAACACTAAACGCTAAACCTGAACGCAACGGATAGAGAAAATTACTGATCAGTTACACTGGTCAGACTTTCTAGCAGGTTTAGCACCCCCAGCTGTCGGCCCCTGTGGCCTGCAGCTGTCTGGTCAGGATCTGCCTGACCCCCCTGTGGGAAATAAGGAAAAGTGATTCTACTGGAAGACAGACAGACGATTGGAATAGAGAGAGAAAGGGAGGAGGAGGAGGAGGACCACCGTCACCACCACCACCAGGACCTGGAGTCTGACTGCGGAGGTCTTCCCAGGTGATCATGTCCAACTCCTTCCTGGACGCTGCCTGGGTCCTACTTTTAAGCTCGGGCTGTTCTCGTCGACGCTCCAACTCCCCGGGCTCATCGACTAGAACCAGACGACCGCTGACCATTAGGTCGAAGAGTGCGGCGTTGCATTTCGACACGTCGTCCTTGGTCAACGCGTCGACCGGCATCCTCCCGTGAGGGACCCATCGTACCCGACCCTGGGCCCTCTCAAGGGCCTCGCTGATAATGGCCAGGTCGATTGCCGTTCTTCGGTCCCGGGCCCCTGCGTTCCCCTCCTGGAGCATCGTGTCGTAAATAGATTTAGCATCTACTACATGTACCTGCTCTTCCCGGGCGCCCAACCGACAGTCACGCCGGAGCACTGCCGTAAATGGCCCAGAGCCCCGGTGGTAGTCCTGGACGTCCACGTCTCTAAACATCACGTCTCGGTACATGACTTGTAGATACTCTACTTCTGCTACTGCGGAGGAAAGAGCCTGGGTTTCACCGGCCAAGGTCGACGGAACCTTTCTGCGCAACTTGGAGCTTCTCCATCCTAAGATGGATGCCTTGACCGATCGGTTCGCCAGCACGCTCTTGTCCGCTGCCAGGACCATCCACGCTCCCTGGGTAGGGTCTTCTGGAAGGCCCTTGTCATCTGTCATGCTCTCGGCTGCACCTACACCGCCGGCGTCGGAGAAAGACATAAATGACATGTTTTCAGGATCCAGTTTCCAGACAGTGATGCCCCTCGAGGCCGTAGTCCTCAAGTGCTTGACGAGCTCATTTGCCAGGGACACGTCGCCGGTAGTCGGAGCCTTAAGGCGACTCGCCAGTATACTGGCGACCCCTGCCGCCTCAGGGCGGCTCTCCCTACCCACCCAGTTGAATTTGTATACAAGTGAGCGTAAAGCCTTGAACTCGGAAGAGTCCAGGGGCGAGTCCTTCTTTGTAAGGCGGCCTCGGGCAAGAGGAAGTGGTCGAATTTCCTCCAAGATATATTTTTCTTGATCGATGACAGCACGCCGAGCATTCAGAGAAATCCGGCGCCCTGCATACTCAACAGGTCCTGCCTGCAGGTCACGATATTTTCCAAACTTGAATCTGGATTCGAGCAAACCTCTAAGCCACGAACGTGACTCCTCCGACGAACTCCCGATAAAGAAGTCATCGACCTCTAGCAACATCATGTTCAACACCTCCCCCTTTGGGCCGTACCGGATCCACCAACAAGGCCCCAATAAACATCGAGTAAACCATGTTTCTCAAGAAAGTTAACGACTGTTTTCCTCCAGGCAACAGGAGCGTCGTCTAATCCATAGACGTTCACCTTCAAGAGTATGAGGCTGCCCCTGGGTATGTCTATACCGTCGCAGGGCTCGACATATATATCGCCCTGAGGACGTGACATTGGATCTGACTGGCAGAACGCGTTTTTAACGTCTGCGATGTCGGCCAGGAGGGAGAGATTCATGATGATCTGAATAAACATCATGATGCTGCTGGTCTGAGGGGTGGGGGAGTAGACCTGGAGAGAACCTGAATCCGGATCTCTATGTCCATGCACGCACCAGCGTGATTTGGCGCCCGGGTTAGCGAATGTCCCTTCTACTGGTTTCCATCGACGAACCATCCGACTCGAGATGATGCGCTCGGGCTGCGCCTTGCGCACCGCATCCGCCTTCTTGGGCGAGATGATTTCGACGGCTCCGGTCGCCATCATCGCGCCCCACTCCTTCTTATCAGAAATGGCGAACTTGGCACGTTCGGAGGGGTTCAAATTCTTCAAAGTGACCTCTCCCCCCCTGCTGGCCACAAACGTGCCCTCACCCTTGTCTCCGAGGCCTGACTCGCACTCCTGAACTGGCCGGGCCAGGAGACCACCACCGACACCACCACCGGGGAAGAGGAATAAATCCTCGGTCCTTCCTCCGTCCTCTTCCTCCCAGCCCGTCGGGGCTGACGGCGAGCGGCTCCGCTCCCGCCTGCCCTCGATCTCCCGCACCCGGTCGGCGACGGGCACCTGGGGCTCGTGGCCCAAGATGACCGCTGGCCTCGAGGCGGGAGTCGGGGGCTCCTCGGTGCGAGCACGCTTGACCTCGGGGGGTGAGCTTGACGCCCTCGCCTCGGCCGTGCGCGACCGGATGCAATGAGGGACGTCGTTCGGTTGGGAAAGACAAGTGCGAGCGGAGGAGGGAGCGGGAGAGGGAGGAGGAGGAGCGGGAGAGGCGAGCGGAGAAGCTTCCCTCACCCCGCTCGGGTGTTCCTCGGGCTCACCGGACACTTCCCTGGACATCTCGGGTGATGCCTGGGGAGGTGTGCTTTGAGCCTCCTCTGGCACGGATGGCAAACGTGTCCGCTCGCTCCCGGGCTGAACTGAGACGGAGCCGGCCTCCGAGGGAGCTCGGGATCTCCAACCTGGCCTGGGGTTCCTGGGGCCGGGACTCGGGCCCACCACGGATGGCCCTGGCCCGGGGTCGTCCTGCTCTTCAGCGGGAGTTGGTCCCACCCCGGGCACCCTGGGCGCGGAATCTTCCTGGATCCGGACCGAGTCATCCCACGCCTCGTCGGGTGGTGGACCCTCCCGTTGAACGTCAACCGCAGCGCCTCGCCGAGTTTGAGATTGCCGCAACAGCTCTCGCCACTGGGGGCTCTGAGAGAGCTGAACCCCCAGCTCCTCATCGACGCTCGCCAATCTCACCTGTTCCACGGAGCACTTCCAAAGACGCGCACGGACAGCCACCCACACTGTACTGCCCTCGCACAGAACCACCACCCCGGGCCCGCACCACCCGTCCCTTCTCCGACCCAGAGCGTCGGCTCGGGATGAGGTGCGGGTAAGATGTCTCCACACATAGACCCACTGTCCGGGGCTGAAGGTCTTGGGGGCAGGGGCCCTGGCGTGCGAGGCGCGGTTCACCTTGTCTCTAGAGGTGGCCTCCATCGCCAATCTTCGCGCTGCCTCTCGCACCCTCTGGGCCCTAGCAAACTCGGTCCCGGGGCCGTCGTGCTCGGAAGGCGAGCACAGCATGTCCTGCCACCCCGGAATGGCGATGTCGTCAGAAAGGAGCTCATGAGGAAGTCGAGGGTTTTCCCCGAACACGAGCTGCATGGGGGAGAACCCTCCCCGGTGCCAGTATCTGTTTTTGTGAGACACGAGCTCGTAGAGAAGCTCATCTAAGTCTTCAATACAACTGACCACGGAGGCCCCCGCTTCCACCTCCGCCTTGACGCGATCCTTAACCCACCCCCCATGGCGTTCAACTCGCCCGTTCTGCCAGGGCGAGTCCGCGTCACACACGTGGTGCCGGACCCCCCATTGTTCCAGACCCCGCGCGAACCGTTCTCCGAACTCGGACCCCCCGTCGGACATCAGAAAATGGGGGGCACCAAATGGCCGCAACCAACACTCGCTAAACGCCCTCCAGACGTCAGCGGCGCGAGGGTGGGGTATGCGGGTGCACACTTGCAGATTGGATCCGCGGTCCACTATGTTGAGCACTGGGTGTGTCTGACCCTGAAACTCGATATAGAACAGATCTACGGCAATAATGTGATTGAATCGGAAGGTCCGAGGGAGAGCGACCCTGCGGTGGCTGCTGGACTTCTGCCGCTCCTGACACTCAGAACACCGAAACCCCTTAAGCGCCCACCTGACGAGGTGCCTCTTGACCCCGCCGGCTCGCAAGACGCGGCAGAAACGTCGGACCTCGGGGTGCCCCATGTTCACGTGCAGTTTATAGATCAGCCTCTTTTCTTCGGAAGGATCGATCTCGGCCTCCTTGAGGCCTTGGGTCCCGGTCGGCCCCCGGGTCTCCTGCTCATCGCCACTGTCCTCGGAAACTTCGCCGGCTTCCTCCTCGGCCCTCCCGGGCTCTTCTTCCGCCGAAGCCGCCGCCGGGAATGACTCCTCGCAGAAGTCTCCCCACCGAGGACGCTCGCTCCCCTTGGTACCGCTCCAGTACTCGGCCACCGCGTTGGCCACCGCCTTCACAAATCGGTGGGGGTACCTGGCCGCTCGGGACGTCCTGGCCTGACCTTCAAGCAGGGCGTGCCTGTGTCCCCCGGTGCACAACTTTCCGTCCAGAGCCCTGGCCAGGAGAGGATGGTTAGTGATGACCCCGGTAGGTTTCTTGTTGACCCCTCGCTCATCCACCTGAAGCCCGAACTGGCACATGTCGATCCTTAGCTTCCTAACTCCA